CCAGGAGCTTACGTGAGAATATTAAGCATGCCCGTTTTATTGGTGTGCATGGAATAATTTGAAGAAGAAAAAACATTGCATCATATAGACAGGCAGTAAAGTTGACATTTTTAAGATTTCATCCTTACGACATTGCTGTAATCTTTTTTTGGCAAAACGGAAAAAATCACATCTGCTAATAAGGGGGACGGGAGCAAAAGCTACTGCAAGTGCATACAAGTATGTATGTGTGAAGAAGAATATACACACTAATAAAAAATTCTTCGAAGGTTATTAGATCCATTTGAAAGGCTTCTACTGCGATGTCGAGTGGGCACTGAGCAAGCCGTCCGGCAGCACATGGCCGGCAGCGGCACGGGCCATCTGGCAGGCGGCGATAAGATAGCCCCCCCCCCCCCTCTCAGGCGAACACGCAGTACGAAGCACGCCATGCTTCACACATTCTTCTGAAGTTTAAAAGCCATGAGCCAAGCTAATTCTTACAGGAAACTCGATCAACGATATTACATGAATGAAAAATAAAATAAATATAAGGGGAAAGAATCCAAACTTGTGCGCTGTTGGGATGATAGCTAGCAACAAGGTCCTGTCAAGCTCACTTAATGTCGCCAGGAAATGGTAAAGCCGTAGCTGACGTTTCGCAGTTATTTTCAAAAACACAATACATTTCAAGAATTAAATGAAAATTACGCCCGAGCTAACTAAATTGACTTAAAATTATTTTGCACTCCACGTTTACGACAGATTTGGCCCTAAACCTGAATACGTTGGGTTGAATACCAGGGTAATGTAATTACTACAATATACGATTGTCATCAGAATTTTAATCCTAAATAGAATAGAGCAGAGTAAATTTGCTCGATCCTCCATCACAATTCTATACAATTACTTTCATTACTGCACACCGGCGCTTGTTAAAAAGTAAGAAGTCGAGCCGTAAATTTCCTTTCCTTGCACGGTTTCTATCAAGTTGTTCAAGGCCACTTCCGCGAAGAGCCAAGCCTTCTCACCTCCCCCGAGCAGCAACATCTCTTCAGTCGTGCGGTTCAGTGGCGCGCGTGAGTATTCCAGTAATAATTTCCACGGAGTCATACAGAGGGGGGGGGGGGGGGGTGCAGAAGTGATTCGGATTCCTTAACTTGTGTTCGGGAGGTCATACTCTTTGTTATGTACCTATCTTACAATGTTCGCAAGCACACTTATAAATGCTAGTATTAAAGAAAATTGTACATCAAAACTTCTACACAAAGGAATACTATTTACATACTTTATAATTCCATTAAAACATACCATATTGCGGGTGACCGTGATAAAAGTGAATATAGCCGTCTCCGATGCTAGTATGTCCCTTTACCGTCCACAAACATTGCCTCGCTGAAATTCCCTCCCAAATAATTCAATATTCTTTGTGGGGGACCGGAACTGCTAAAATAAGTATGTATGTATGTATGTATGTATGTATGTATGTATGTATGTATGTGAGGGGGGGGGGGTTAGAATGGAATCATTCCCAAATTCTAATTGCTCTCGCCGAGAGTGAGCTGATGCTTCTGGGGCATTGTCTGTTCGAAAAGTACCTTTCACAGATGTTTTTGGAGATTCTTAACCTTATTAGAACATACCACAATATAATCCATTGATGTCAACAGAAAAGGACGTAGAATTTCTATTGTGGATAATTTTGATTATCTCGAGTCGCGATGGCTTCAACTAATCTCTCACAATTGTAATGAAATACTGGCTACTGATACGTCTTTGATAAGTTCAATGTAAAAGAATGCCAGGAATTCAGTTTGATGAATTGTACTGCGACGCAGATCTTCCCAATTGTGGAATCGAATCCCATATAAGATCGTAAAGGTTAACACCATGCCTGATGGAGGTTCATCTTCTGCTCTTTTACGGATAATAATATTAAAACAAAATCGATAACTTAAGAACTGCCCGCAAGAGCGTATTTTATGTTGTCTGTACTTTTCTGAAAGTTCAGTTACGGATATATATTATCGATAAATCGTACTCAAGTTAGAGTACTCGTAAAGTACTCGCACATCATTCTTTTAAAATGTACCAATTAGAAACTCCTTCCAATGAAAATTTCAATTGAAATTGCTTGCACACAGAACATAACCATATTGACCTACGCAAATAAATATTTCCCAGGAAGTACAAAATTTTAGAATTTGAAAATGTCGAATACGTGACTCCTTTTTCAATAAGAAATTCTCATGTGTAAGTACTTTATATACTTTGAATTCACGTCACACAACCCATTCCAACAAGTTTAGCAAAAAGAAATAGATATACGTTCTATAAATATATAATATAATATTCAAAATATTTTATAAAATATATCAAAGAAGTTAAGATTAAGATTCAATGCATATTCAGTCTTGCTTGGCAATCAAAAATTATAGGTCGGTATTATAGAAGCCACGTATAAACCCCTCAATCCTCCGCCTCCATAAAGCGGCGTGCTCTTGAGTACAATACGCATGACAGGCTGCGGAGGCCAGCAGGGGCAATGGGAGCAAAAATAATTATTCTACGTCATTTGAAGTCTCAGCATGTTAGAACACTATTTTCTGGAAGTATTGTCGTAGTAGAGATTTCCGTTTCTTGAGTGCAGAGCCTACCCATGTCCATCATGGAACTCCGGCATCTCCACGCCCACAAATGTACAGAAGGATTGATGCGAGATTCCGATGGCCGGCCGCGGACGTGGCGTCGGAGGGCGAAGGCGGCGGCGGCCCGCCTGGCCTTGTGGCGGGCCAGCGACCCCGCGGCATTCCGCGCGGCCGGCCGCGGCGCAGCGCTGCCGCCGCCGCAGGTGCCTCCGCCCCGCGACACGGCCCTGCGCGGATGACACGGCGTTGCCAGCCTTCTCCCTCGCGCCGGCGAAAGTTTCCTTTCCGGGCATTCCTACAGTAACGTGACACTATCGGGATGGGCGTCATCTGTGTACAGACACGGCTGACAGCTGGCTTTCGTGGGTCATTACAACGTGGTGAATGATGCCTGAGATGATCGTATGCGATACGCGCTGGTTGGCCTTGCTGCGCTGTATACGCCACATTTCCAAGGTGAAACCATAGGGATTCGAACTCCACGTGGTTGTCAACGTCGGTGGTCACGTTCGTGTTTCCTAAAACCACATACTTCAATGAAAGTGAAAGGGATAAAAGGCACACATTTTAGGAACTTCGAAGTGCTCAATAGTTTCACGGTCAAATGAAAGTATTTGACACAGTGGCAGGAAATATAAAAGCAAAACGACGCAAATGTTTTGTAAGCGGGCGAAGATGTTTTGAAATCTTGTAAATGTTTCGAACAAACGAAACAGCTCCTTACATTTGAAATCGCAAAAATGACCAACACAACGTGACCATTAACTTCAAAAAATCCTCAACTTAAATTTACTCGTTGAATGTGCAACAAATTATGCAAATCAATTGTTAAGTCTTTATTAACTGCACTGAATTTAGTTTTAAAGTAATTCAAACTAGTATGGAAAATCATGCAGGAAAAAACATTAGAAGGCAATGATTCTTATATTTTTGTTTTTGACATTCACTTGGAATTTATCCATTGTTATTAAATATGTACCAGGAAATCCGAGCAGATAAATCTAATCGAAATAATCGTTTTGAAGTCATGAGTCCGGCCGTTGGTTCAAACGCTCTCCAACACTTACGAGCCGAGCGGTGTCCACTCAGACATTCCGACACGCGACGAAGCACTACCCCACTGCGCCGAGACGAGCTCCCACAAAAAACGACGCGTTACCACGACGCTCGTCTCTCCTGCGCGGGCAACGCACCGCGCCGTGTCCACTCGCGCGCGTCAACGACCGAAATAAACGCGCGGGCCCGCTCTCGCGACGCATCCGCCGGCACCCTCCCAGGCGCCGCCTCGGCCGAGCGATTAGAAAGGCACCGGCGCGGAGCGGGGGGAGGGGGGGGGGGAGACGCGGGACAGGGCCGCCAGGTACCCACGCCGCGACGCGCAGCCACGGCCACCGCCGGAAGGAGCACGCGGGCTACCAACTTCGGCGGCGAAAATCCCCTGCGCCGGCCCTGGCCGCAGACAAAGAAGCCCGGGCGAGCGTGTTGCGCGCAGCCTTGAAGGAGCCATTAACGACGTGCTAGCGCTTTAAAGCGCGCGTAAACACGCTTTTGCTATCCCAAGGCACCGTAAGCCCTGCGAACAGCTCGACGCGCTGCTTATCGCACACGCGATATGCGATTCAGCCCCCTCTCAATCCGTATGTAGTTGCGCTGCACCGCGACGACGCCCGGACCCGCACGCGGCGTCGCGATGCGGGCTCGCCACAACCATCACAAAGATACATTTTTTTAATCAACGCGAAGCTTTAACAGTCGCTTACTCTAGCAGTAACCGCGCTGCTGCCGCCGCGTCATTTATATTTCCACTCGCAATGTCCCCACACGAAATAAAACACCATAAAGAAAGCGTGGATGCCGAAGGCGGCGGCGTCGGGCGCGTCCATAAACAGAGCCTCTGACGTCACAACATGGCCACCGGAAACGAGGCAGGTACAGCGCTAAATGAAGATAGACACGAGGGCCGTGAACGGCGCGGAGGCCTGAATTAAGAGAAAAGAGCGCAAGCGCGCCCGAGCGCAGCGGACGCCGCCCGCACAGCCCAGAACAAAGGCGAGCGCGGGAGCGGCCGTTGGCGTCACGTGTTGCCGGCCGGCGGCATGGCGCGGCGCGGCGCGGCGTGGCGTGGCGTGGCGGGACGGAACGACGCCAACGCGCGCGCTTGTAGATATCGTATCGCCGGGCAGGCAGCGCCGCAGCCGCCACCGCGTGCGCTGGCGAAGCAAGCGACCTCCCGGCCAAGACGGAACCGGTTGGGCGCGGCCAGCAAGAAGCGTCGTCGCAAGCAGCGGCGGCGGCGGCGTGCGATGCCCGCTAAGGACGAACGCGCGCCTTCTCGGAAGACGCCCCGGCCGCGCGGCGGCTCCGTCTACTTACAAGAGAGCAGAAAGACGAGGAAGAGGCAGCGCCGACGCACTCAACTACAGCTCGCAACCTCACCGAACGAGCGCCTGCGCTGGACTGAGGCGTAGAGGCGCGGGGCGGGAGGGGGGCGGCGGCGGGCGCGGGAGGGGGGACGCAAAGCGAGGGGGGCTCGAGCGGGCGAGAAGCCACTCGCCACCCGGCTCGCCCCCCAGCGGTACCTTGTGCAAGGGCAGGCAGCAGGGGCCCTGAGGGGAACAGAGGGGAGCTCGGCTAGCCTCGCACAGGGCCCTCGCATTACACTTTTTTGAACAATTTGCCTCATTAGTCGGCGCCAGGTGGGAATTTAAATTTGGTTTTTCCGCCGGCGGACGGGAACGGAAGACAGATGCACCGAACCGGGGCCCTTTCTTCCAACTTGCCGGCAGCGCGCCGAGTTGCCCTTGCAAGACATACCATGTTTATCTACGGCGCATGAACTCCACTGAAGGTCCGCACACTATAATACGTGGTGTATACAAGTCTGTATTCAGACTGTGAGTAGATTTTTTAAATATGCAGACATTGATGCCAAACCACATTGGGAGAATGCTTGGTGATTATTAACACGTGGAAATGATTCGTATTTCCTTCACAAACCTTGGCCGACTTGTGCTTGAGCCGTTGCACTGTTTTCTTTTTTGGAATTCCGCCAACTGCAGAATGTTCGCATACGAACATTTATGTAGTACTCACAATGCAAGAAAGAACACTAACTTCCGTTTTCAAAAGTATTATGCATGTACATAATTTGCGATTAAAATTTTTATGAATTTCGAATTTACTTTCAAGCCTGATGAAAGTAAACCACGTGGGTGATAAGTTCGTTATTATGGTCTGTCCATTTATATCAGTTTGTCAACATAATTCACTCACATACGTATACTCATTTGCTTTTCAGCTTTAATTGCATCAGTTCTTACAATATTATTGTAATGACGGGATTGGAACAATGAATATCAATCGAGATAACTACCCCTAACCTCCAAATACACACAATGACTGGAATCAGATGCATCGACAACGAACACTTCAGCGTACATGGCGGGCGAAAGAATACTGCGCAAAAGGTGCGGTCTTCGGTGCTCAGGTGTTAGTTTCTAAAACAGTTATCTCAACGGACCATACTGGCTGGCAGTGAACAGCGCGGCAAACCCGAAGGAAGGCTACCTCTGTGCGAGGTTCAACTGAACCGCAGACTCCGCCGCCGGTAATACGCAGGACGAATACTGAGCAGGCGTCCCCCCGCTGGCGAAGCAGGCAGGCGACAGCCGCTACCACGGGAGGTCGAGCGGTGCGGGCTGTACAAATGGACCCAAGATTGCATTTCCGTTTCATTTCGGTTAACAGGATCGCGCGAATGGTGTCCATATTAACGGAAATTGAGCAATGTGTTTTTCTTGGTTTTTTTAAACACACGACCCCTACTCACCAACCAGGGAGAGACCCAGATAGTGTTCGAGATAATCCCCAAGAATAATCCCATTCGAATGTAATATAAGCTACATCTATCTTATGAACAAAGGAAATGCAGAACATTTCCGAAAAATAAAATAAAAAAATAAAAAACACCCTTCAGTTTCTTAACAACAAATTAACTACACATTTCTTTTCTTCCAATGTAAATACATACGTGTTTAGGAATTCAAAGACATTAGACATATTATTCATATTAGAATATACGAAAATATAATGATCGTATAGTATTACATTCATCAAAATGTCTGAATTCATAAACAAACTTAAAATTTATTTGTTACCGACTATATTTCACTAGGAGAATCAGAGTAAGATTACTAGTTTTAGAGTTGTCTTGATCTTTCAATTTTTACATCTAGTGCCTTTTAATCGACACAAATTCTTAATAGAAAATAGTATACAACTAACCATAGATTATCTATTTTCCTCTTGCAAAATATTATAATTCCATTCCGAATTGAGTGACTAAATCTATCCCCGATATCAGAGCAGGTAAAAAGCATACAGTATTCGAAATGAGAGCTTGATTTTTATGAGGTTTCATAAGGTGGTATGTTCGGGCCAGTCGCTAGTCACTATTGAATAGATGCTCTAGAAAAACAATGTTTACTAATAAATTTAGTCTCTCACATGATTTTTCATTTGCATAAGGTGTCAATACGTAATACAGGTTGAGTTGACTTCGGTGCCCGTGGTTTTCTTTCTTTTTGCGTTGAATATTAGTCCAAATTGTTTTTATTGAAAGTGAATTCTCGACAAATGGTTTATGGTTGAGTATGGTTCAACATTGGAGCTGTTTTCTCTCGTGCCCCTAGAAAAACAGCGCTGACAAATTCCATGATTCATACAGGATCACTTCTAGGCCGAGAGCCAGCACTTTCGGTTGCGATCAATTTTGCAGGTTTTTTTTTATCAATTACTTCTCAGAATGCCCATTGAGGTACGTTACATTTAATACCATCTGCTCCTCAAAAAATTACTACGTATTGAAAAAAAGAAAAAATGGTACTTTCATCGTACAACTTTTTCAATAACGTGAAAAACCACGCAAAAGTTTTTCAATAAGAGCCTGTACTAATTTAAACTTCTTTTATTGAAAAATGAAACCGATAAGGACAAATTTTTTTCTTACCATCTTCAAGAACAGAGATTTTACAATCATTTAAAGAATGATTGGAAGTACTTCACCGTGGTCCTTCTAACGAACATACAACCTTAACAGTACGATAACACATACAACAATCACAATGAGCATTTTACATAACACTGCTTCCTTACAATTGAGAGGCATAGTAGAACAAGGGGCCTGTGCCACATTAGCCTAGCACTAAGAGATTGAGGGATTTACTTGAACTTTTATAATATAATTCAGTACACTTGCATTTAAGTCCATCGTGGATTTAAAAAACATATTACACTAAAAGATTAGTATTTGAAGTTATATTTCGTGCTTATAACGTAATTTTTTAAATGTGGGAAAGCCTCTTGTCCTACTGAGACCATCAATTATTGAATTAAAAATCACAAGATCGTGTTACACAAATAAATTACCAGGCACTACGTCTTGTTTTTAAAAAACGTGCTTCTTCCCTACCGCGCGTTTCGAAACGTTGGTTTCGTGCGTCTGGCACTTCCCCTTGCCCCGACAGACGGACGCACGCCACATTGCGCGGCCGCCTACAGCGAACGCGCCAGAACGCATTTCCGCTAGCTCAACCCAAAAATGCTTTCTTTACAAATTTCTTACTCACTTCTCTCACAATCAATGGGTGTTGTTTTTCAAAGGTCTTCTTTCCAATACAAAACTTCTCTTTTCTTTTGAATATATTAGTAAAAGTAAAGTACAGGGTTTCGCGATACACTTGTGATCATGTATTTACGACTAAAAATAAATAGTTAGGTACGCTTTCAAAAAAACTGATTAGGCGTTGTATTTGACACAACCTTGGGAAATTTCACTCCGGGCACGAACTTGACGAAGTGTGCATTTCATGCTAGCTCCATTTAATAAAATCCACAGAGAAATTGCAAAAGAATTCCAAAATAATAAAGTAAATTTTACTCAATTACACAGACATTTCACCTAACGTAGAAAACCCTAATACAAAGATTTTTTTTTCTTCTTCATTTGTGTAAACAATGCACTGATAGTGTGCGGAGAGATATACCTTGAGAACATATAAAGGAATTTTTTTCCCCCTCACATAAAGCTGTGACTGCATTCTGCCCGATGGATGTCACTAAGAAGCAAATCCCCAAACGGCAATTTGACAGGCGCTCACAGGGGTTTCGGCACGGCCCACTGTAGAAAGGCGTGGGGCGCGTGGGCGGAGGGGGAGGGGGAGGGGCGCGAATTTATCACGGCCGTGACGCCGTATCGACCGCCGCAGGAACGCGAGGCGAGCAGCCCCAAGGCCGCCCCCGGCGCCCTTGCAGAAACGGCACCTGCAGTGGGAAGCGTCCGCGATCCACGAAATACGCGTGCCCACCCAAACACCTACAGACTCCACTAATAAAAACTTTCTCCTTAAATAGGGATTCGGCATTTACAAACTATTGCAGTTGCAAATGTTCTTGTTTATTAAATGTTTACAGTACCAAGGGTAATACTTGCAACTTTGAAGGCATTTTGAAGGATGTAGTATTCGATAAGAGATGTGCAACTTGCACACGAATTTCTGAAAATATTCATTTGAAGCAATTTTCTCAATAAATATTAGTTGTGCCTTCAGGACTTGACATCTTTTGTAATATCAAATCTTTAATTAATGATTTACATATATTCATTTATTTTTCATTTATATTAACTTTTAAAAAGTTGGCCAACCCGTGTGCTTGTTCTGAACTTCATTTGCCACGACCGTGACCTGCGTGAGGAATAGTGTTGAACGCTTTCTTTTTTTTTTATTGTTCTCGAGGAAGATCAAATTGCATCTGTTACCGCTGCTGGGAGATTGATCTTGCAGAAGCAGTTATGCTTTTGCTGACAATGAGTCTTTGTTTCATCATCTTACAGAAAACACTTGGTAGCCTAAGCTCTGAGTTTACTTGCCAAAATACAAGAAAGGAATACAACCATCACTCAAAATCAATAAAACTATATTATTTTTAAAGAAGGGCACATTCTCCCGAATACTATTAAATGGTTCAATTTTAATACTACTCTTAATTCTTTCTCTTCTTCCTTCTCCAACCTACGATCAAATTTCGCAAAATTGCAACCCAAATCGAGGTTCTTATTGTCATTTTTATTTTATATGTGCATTCTATATTACGTTTCTTTCAATACCGTCTTACAGTATAAAAAGTTAGTGGACACTTAGGTACGCTGAGTTTTGCCACAGGAAATTGTGCATTGGGAGTTCACAGTAACACGATCTAATAATCGTGATGATATACAAGTTCTTTCATTTTGACATTTTCATCAAATCCAAACCTCACGACTTATCAAAACAAGAAACCGTGGGTAGAAATAGGGTGAAATAGCCTTTGGGCAGAAAATATTTGTTTTTGCAATAACTTTCATTTAATACTTTGCAGAATTGCCCTTTGAACTTAGTACAAACCGTAGCCTGCTTCACACCGCATATTTGTATGTAAATGTTAATGCACGTTCCTTCTAATGCTCTCTTGAGATCCTCTTTTTTTATTGCAACTTT